GAAAACAGTTTTTTTTGTGTCTTCAGGTAACTCTGCAGTGAAGCCTGAGCTCAGCTCCATGCTTTCTTCCCACGACACCAAAGACGATGGCAGAGATCTGACCCGACCCAGCCGGCCCGCCGTGAGTCCAACAGAACATGTTCAATATGTCAAACATGTCCAACACATCCAACATGTCCAATATGTCCAACATATCCAACATGTCCAACATATTCAACTCATCCAATGTGTCCAATGTGTCCAGCATGTCCAATATGTCCAACATATTCAACTCATCCAATGTGTCCAATGTGTCCAGCATGTCCAATTTGTTCAACATATTCAACTCATCCAATGTGTCCAATGTGTCCAGCATGTCCAGTATGTCCAACATGTTCAACACATCCAATACGTCAAACATGTCCAACATATTCAACTTATGAAATATGTCCAATGTGTCCAACATGTCCAATATGTCTTCTTGAATTGTTGTTCTTAAATGCAAATTGTGGTCCATACAATGACAATAAAGGCATACTTGATCAATCAATCAATCAATCAACCAATCAATCAATCAATCAATCAATCAATCACTCAATCAAGATGTCTATCATATCAAACATACCAAATATGTCATCATGTCAAACATGTCCAACATGTCTAACATGTCCAACATATCCAATACGTCCAACATGCCAAATTTGTCTATCATTTCAAACATGTCCAACATATCCATCATGTCAAACATGCCAAATATGTCTAACATGTCCAGCATATTCAACATATCCAATATATCCATCATTTCAAACATGCCAAAATGTCTAATATGTCCAACATATTCAAAACATGCAACACATCCAACATGTCCAGTATGTCCTTCATGTCAAACATGTACAAGATGTCTATCATTTTAAGTTTGTGTAACAGATCCATCATGTCAAACATGCCAAAAATGTCTAACATGTCCAATATGTCCATTATGTCAAACATGCTAAATATGTCTGATATATCCGACATAATCAATGCATCCAATATGTCCATTATGTAAAACATGTCCAATATGTCTAATATGTCCGAAATATTCAAAACATACAACACATCCAACATCTCCAATATGTCCATCATGTCAAACATGAATGTCAGATATGTCCAAAATACCCAACATGTCCAATACGTCCATCATGTCAAACATGTCCAATATGTCCAACGCATCCAATATGTCCAATAAGTCCATCATGTCAAAGATTTCCAATATGTCCTACACATCCAACATGTCCAATATGTCCATCATGTCAAACATGTCCAATATGTCCAACATATCCAACATGTCCAATATGTCCATCATGTCAAACATGCCCACTGTGTCAATTTTGTCAAACACCCAACATATTCAACATGTTCAGTATGTTCATCATGTCTAGCATGTCCAATATGTCTATCCTTTCAAACATGTCCAATATGTCTAACATATCAACACATCTAACATGCCAAACATGTTCAGTTTTGTCAAACACCCAACATGTTCAACATGTTCAGTATGTTCATCATGTATAGCATGACGAATATGTCTATCATTTCAAACATGTCCAATATGTTTAACATGGCCAACACTTCCAACATATCCAACGTGTCCCACACATCAACACATCAAGTATGTCCAACACGTCTATCTGAGTGTCCCACAAACTATAGACACACCCTGAACACTGACGTGTCTTTGAACGCACCACAGCGCTCTGTTCTCTCTTCCTCCATCGTCTCAGAGTCCTAAAATACAAACTTTAGTCAAGGTGGTTTCTTCGCTTCACGTCTCTTTTTCCTCTCAAACACTCAGAAACACTCTGGTTTTTATAAAAGCGGCACAAAACAAAACACAGCGATCAGTGGGATTTGGGCAAAACCTTCTGGTTTCTTTGTTTTAATTTGCATATTTTCCATTTCTAGCACATTTTTAGTGCAGAACTGTTTTTATTTGTAAAAACTGGAACAAAAACAGCAAGCGTCAACAGTTTGATCAGTACCAGTGACCTTTGACCTTTCCCATTCTCAAAGACGAGAAGAGTCCGTTCTCTGTAGGCTCATTTTTTGTTGATTGTTTACTTTATGCTCACCAAACATGACCGTCCATATATGGTTAACGTAGAGAATGTAAACCCATCCTGCTGGCCCCTCCCCCCGCTCACACCTGGACACGTCACTTTACTCACCTCTGCTCTCACCTTTCATTTCCACAGTCACACTCTCTCTCTCCCTCTCTCTCTTCCATTTTACCGTCCCTCTCTCTCTCATCAGGAGGAGTTGGTAAGACTACACCCCCCCCCACACCACCACCCCTCCCCCACCTCACCTGAGCTTCATCCACTTCCTGTTCCTGGGATGTTGCCGCTCCTGTGATGTGGTCTCTAAACTGATGGTTGCTTCTGTTGTTCAGCTGTGATGGGTCCTAGTGGCGGCCATCTTGCTACAGGAAGACATTAGATACTTAAATACTTTTTGTACATAAAACTCTAAATATTATAAT